ATACATGCTTTATAAGTCATTATTGGCTAACTGAGTTTAATTCGAAACTGTTGTGTTTATGTAATTATATTTATTTAAATAAATATTAAATAACAACGATATTTTTAAAAAATATTAAGTAACGATTATTTATAAATAAATATTAAATAACGACATAATAGTGATTTAAAACAATTCTCCTAAATTCTCTCTATAGCTAGAGCGAAATATTAATACATGTAATCACTATAATCTTTTATTAAAAGTTGCTCATTACTACTATGAGCATGAAATATTAATGAAACGAAATATCTTGGCAACTTGGCTTGATTGAATTTTAAAGCCTTAGCCAACTTTGAAATCTAATATTTATAGTTTAAATTTTGCCAAAAAAAAAAAACTGTTATCGGGCCTTCAATTATATTTTGTACCGGAATATTCTCTAACAAATTAAATAAATTATATTCGGTACAAAAATAAAATTAAAAGCCCGATAACAGATTTTTTTTTTTGTAGTACTTATATGTATATATATATTAATCATATTATCTCGACAACTACTATACTAAATTCGATAAAAATTTTTTTATTCAAATTTTACAGATATGTAGAATTTTGAATAAAAAAATTTTTATCGAATTTAGTATAGTAGTTGTCAAGATATAATATGATTAAAAGTTTAGACACAAAATATAATTAAAGCCAGTGTGTGGGGTTTTTTTAATAATATCTATATATAGTATTAAAGTTATTTAAAATTTATTTGTTTTTAATTGATGTTTTAAATTGTAATTTTAAAAATTTAATATTTCTAATTAAATATATAGTTTCGAAAAAATATAGCTATGTATAATTATAATAATAAATAAAATTATTTTGGTTTAGAATATATTAATTTTTTTTTTACTGTAATTACTTATATTATATATAAAGATTATTTTGAATTATATCAATAAATCATTTTTAAATTTATTAAATTTAAATTTTTTTACAAAACTTTATTACAAAATTTTTATTATAACTATGCCTAAACAAAAAACCAACCAAGGACCTTGTTCTATTCACAATTGTGACAAAGAATCTACAATATTTAGAAGTTTAACTGATAATGCTTTTGCAAAAGCATTAGCTACAGGAACTCTTCAACAATATTCATATTTGCAAATAGATCAACAAATTTGTAATGCTCATTATATGGAAATTGTTGAAAATCCTTGGAATAATTTTAGAAAAAATTATCAAAATAATATTAGTTCAGATAATATTATTGAAAATAATAACTCTATTGGTAAATATTTAAATTTTATTTAATTATATAAGGGAACTATCACTTATTATATAATTATAGCTCTCTTCAGAGTCAGTTATTTGACAATTACAAGTTTTAAAATAATTATAATATAAATTTTATATGATTAGTTATTTTAGAGCTTATAATTGTCAAATAATTAATTATTTTAGAACTTATAATTATTAAATAACTAATTTTAAAGGAGTTATAATTATATAATAAATGACAGTTCTGTAAAATTTTACTTATAATTTATACAAATATACAAATTGGTACAAAGAGAAAAAAAATTTATAATTTATAATTTAATTATTTTTAGATCCATTATCGCAATTATCTCTTGCTGATAAAATAAAAAAAATGACAACTATAATATATAATAGACAACGAAAAGAATCAGCTACTCTTGTACTTGAGCCTAATAATTTTAAGAAAATGCTTGAAGAATCTGATTCTGATTTGATTGGATTTTTTGATGAAATGTGTAAGATTATAATACCATTTAATTGGGCTTTAAATTTACAAAAAGATGCTAAAAAAAAAGTTGTAGTAATTCTTTATTTAATTGCTGGTCTTCGTAATATGCATGCTAATCAATTTAAATTGGAGCTTGGATTATATCTTGCAGCTTGCGGAGCATCTTGTGAAACAATTAATACTTTAAGCAATGCTGGAATTTCTGTTACTAATAAGACAGTTTATAATAATAAGAAAAAAATTGCTGCACAACATCCATTAAAAGTTGAAGAATATTTTATTAAAAATGTAAGTAATTTTTTTAAATATTTAAAATAAAGCTATATAACTAAAATTTTTATATATTATTTTTAAATGATATTTTAATATATTATTTTAATTTAATTATTAGAAAGATTCACTTTGTATATATAATATAGACGATTATCATAATATTCATGAAAAAAGAAGACCAGATGATACTAATTTATCAGGAGCAGCTCATTTAGCAACAAGTATGTGCAAAAAAATTCAGCAATGTGGACCAGTACCAGTAAATTTTAATGATGTATCAGTTTATAATCCAGTAAATATTGATGCATCAATTATTTGTGAACTACTTATTAATACATATCAAGGGCTTTTTGATCTTTCTTATACTCAACGTAAAATACAATGGGCCAAAACAAAGCAATCTGAAAGTTTTGAATTTGATCGTATTGATCAACTTACTATACATTGTTATGATGATGCTATTGCAGAAAGAAAAGAAGAAAGAAAAATGAAAGAAACAATATTAATTGGAATTAAGGAACAACCACTTCATTCTATGCAAGATTATTTAGAAATTTTAAATATAATACTTAAATATAATGAAAAAACAAATCATTTAAATAATTATATTGCTCCAGTAATTGCAGATTGGCCAGGTCAATTATTTATTAGAAGAGCTATTACACATTTGCATAAAGATAATTCAAAAGTACAAATTCTATCTGGAGTAATTTCATTTGTTCCTATTCTTGGACCATTACATGTTAGTCTTAATAGTAGAGAGCAAGTTATGAAAGTTTATTATAGCTTTTTTAAAAAACTATTTCATAATATATTTGGATTACGTAAAAAATTTGCCAAAAATCCAAGACCATGGAGAATTAATTTACTTTTGGAATTAACATATAGTGCATGGATTAAAATTAGAAGTTTAATATTAAAAAAATTTGGATCTTTATGCAAATTTACTGAATATCGAACATTAATTGATCTTTTAGATAATATTATTCCAGCAGTACTTGATATATATGCAGTATTATTTAGATCTGGATCATTTGATGAATATCTTGAAACAATTTTTCGTATTTGGACTTTTGCTTTAAGATGGAAACGTAAAAATTATAACAAAGCTCCACTAGCATTTTTATCAGATATATTTTATTGGGAACAAAATAATCATCCTATGAAAGAAGCAATTAAGCTTTTTTTAGTTAATTTTAATGATTATTGGATTGAAAATATTCATAGCAGAATTAGAGCATCAACAACATGCAAAGATAATGCAAATGATATTTTAAAGCAAGCATATTTATTAGGTATTTTAAAATTTAATAATTATTAATAATTTTAAAATATATAGATACTAATAATTATATTTATTACTAGATGCTAATAAACATTCTGCATTTAAAGAAGCATTTACAAATACTAAACATTATCCGTATTCACTATCTGAATTGGATTTTTTAACTAACAAAGCATGTTTATTTTTACTTCAACAATTTCAAAAAGTTTTTGAAGAATATCAAAAAAAATTAGAAACTGATGCTTCATTATCTATAACAAAACCAAAACCAAAATCAAAAAAAGATAAAAAAGATTCAAATATTGAATTTATTACTATGGATGATATAGATGAAAGAGTACTACCAGCAGGATATCATACTACATATCCACCTATTTTTAATGGTTGTGATCATTGTTATAAACCATTTGAGCAAAATTCTGATGGAACAATTTTGATATGTGGTCATGGATATCATTGGAATTGTTATAATCAAATAGAATTCAAATGCAAACATTGTATACAATATTTTAAAGAAGGAATATGGAATAATGTAAATGCATTTGTAAAACGTTTAGAAGCAGAAGATAAAGATAAACTTACTAAAGAAGATTTAGAAGATGAAGATGAAGATGAAAATGAAGAAGATGATACAAATAATTCAATAGAAGATGCTGAAAATATTGAAATTAATGAAAAAGAAAAAATTGAATTAGATTTACAAAATGCAATTAGTAAAATAAATACTTGGTAATTTATTTTTTTAATATAGAATTGTTATATTGTAGATTTGATATTATAATATGTTTTTTAACTATATTTATTAATAAATAAAATATTTTATTTAAATTTATATAAGATCTTTATTTATACATTTTATAGCTAATTTAATAACAATCTGGACCTAAATATTTAGATTTTAATTTACTAACAATTTTAATATCAAATTACTATTAAAAGATGGTCTACTGGCACAGCATCCATATGATTTATCTTTCTTTTTAACATAGCAGTTGATGTCAACTTTGCTGTGCCAATAAGGCATATGGATGCTGTGTTGATAGATCGTCTCTAACTAAAAATCCAAAAAATATCTTGATAACTCTATTACTGTGACTTTTATAATTAAACTTTAATTAATAATCCCGAAATACTATTTAATATGTATCAACCACATGACGCATTTATCGAAATAATTCCTAAATCTAATAAAACTAATATAATTATTGCATCAACCTATCTCAAAACCCATCTTTTTTTTTTTAAAGTCGATCTATTTATTTATTTATTAAATATTTTAACTCATATTAACATATCCGTCAAATATGAATCATAATTTTTAGGGTAGTATAAAAAGTTACCATATATAGCTGACCAATTCTCAAGAATAATCTAATAATAATGCCATAGTTGAGCACTATCTTAATACTAAATAATCGTATTAAGTATATTGGATAAATCCGTTATCCATTTATCTAAATCTATACTTATCCGGATATCTATTTACTATTGATATCTGGATAATTCGACAAATATTCAAATAATTATATGGATATCAATAGTAAAACAGATATCCGAATAAATTTAGATCTCCAATAGATAACTAAATAAACGAATAATGGATAGGAACTCTAACCCAGAATTATTAAAGGTTATTCGAATCTTGATAGCTACTAAATAAATATAATTACATAAACACAACAGTTTCGAATTAAACTCAGTTAGCCAATAATGACTTATAAAGCATGTAT